TAGCAAAAACATTGGAAGGTTTTGCATACAAGTTCGTATTGAAAATGGGCTGAAACGCTTTCATTACCACGTATGCTGGGAAATCCTTTGTCTTCGAAAATGAAAGATTATTTTTCTTTTTGCTGATTAGTCACAAATCCCCGCAGATAAACCTATAGAAATTTGAACGCGTATTAATATATGCTATACCCTGTAGTATCTATACAAAAAGAAAAAAAATGCGACCACGCCTATTCAATATTAAAGTATATCAAGCCTTAAGTTTTTTGTCCAAAATTTTCCAACATCCAGAGTCCGTTCAAAAAAACCTTACAAAGTATCTATATTCTTGATCGGTGTCAAATTTGAACTACCTCTGAACATGTCTCGCTGTTCGCCTATTAATCTGGCCATCGGTTCGCCTGGCCGATTGTATAGTAACTGTGATAAGTAATATCTCGTTCGCAAAAATGATGACAGCGACTTTGAACTCACAAAAGAGTTTAAAAAGGGCCAGGACACGCCTACAATACAACATGCATACAATACCTACAATTTCTGATTAACCAATATTTTCATTACGCCCCGTAAAACACGCAACAAATTAGATTAGATAGTTGTAGAGTACCTTTCGTTCTAAGTGATGGATACTAAAGCTTCGTTTTAAACCGATTGATGCTTAATTTTTTTTTAGATGTCCTTCCTAGATTGTATATAGAAATATATTAGCTTTTTTCACACGAAACGTATCTTTAAAAAGTTTCTTAAAATTATCATTTTATTTTTATACTATACACACGAATGAATATTTATAAAATTTGAAATTAATTGTTGTATCCTTTAATTTTTATCTTTACTTTATGAAAACAAAAAAAAAAAAACCTTTTTGCAGAGCGTGATTTTTTGGTGCCAAACTATGATAATGCAGAACATCAGTTAAAAGTTTATGACATTCGTAATCCATTAGTGCTAAGTTGTAATATAACCAAAGAAGGATCTTATGAACTTAAATGGTAAGTTTAAAAATAAACGTAAATACTTTATAAATATTATATATGCAGTCTTAAGAGGTGAAGGGCCCGCCGTTAATACACTTCGCTTAATACGGTCGTTTATAAAATGACCTTTTAAAATAAGGTTTTATTTGCCAAGTGAACCGAGAAGTGGTCCGATCAAAACAATTTTCAATAGCGTTCGTCCTTGGGCCAAAACAAGTCGGTGCACTAAATTTTATTAAAATATTTAGGAAAGTACGACTTGTAGGTAGGTAGACGGACGAGAGAAACGACAAGCTAAGATCGATTCAGAAAGTGACTCTGACTCGACCGTTATAATAAAAGATCGGTGCCGCATACATTCGCACTAACTTAACATAACCTTCCATCACAAATGGTGAAGAACATAAAAAAATTGGCAAATGTATTTATTTAAATTCTAGTATTTTTTTCATTGTCTTCCTCGATATTATTATTTTTTGCAGTTTGAGAAAAACTCCATGAGTACCTTGAATAGCCTTTTGGATTTGCGAAATCGAAAGAAGTCAAATATGTGAACAGAAACGAAAGGTTCTGGCATTATAAGGATGCTTAGATCGCTCCGTTTCATTTCTAAACATTAGTAAAATTTTTGCTTTAGTGGAGGGGTCTTTCTTACAGTGACTCTTTCATTACAAGGATCACATTTCCTTTGCCTTCTTTTGCATTTGTATTGAAAGCAGCATTATTCGCTAATATATTTACTTGACAAAAGATCTGTTTAATTCAGATGTCTGAACTAAACTCTTAGAAGGATTGCTTTGGCATTCATAGGAAGTTTGTATGAATAACAAACCGAGGATATATTTTTATCGCTAGCTTTTCAACCTGGGAGCCTTCTGAGTCATGTGTTTCCTTGGTATGGATGCGAATATGAAAATAAGACCATGACATTAGTAGACCTTGTCAAAATTTTTAATACAGAAGGCGATTCTTAGTGATTTTATTCGATATTATTTCAGAGCCAAGAAGAAAATCGCCATGGGGTCTCCTTTCGAAGAATTGGTAGATGAACCTATTTTCACACTTGATTTATGAAGCTGAACCCATCCGCGATATCCATGTACTGGCTTGGAGAACAAAAGAAAATAGTCTGCCACGTAGATGAAGTTAAATCGATATAAATAGCTTAGCAGATAAAAAGAGCTATCAGTGTACGTGGACTTAAATTTCGGTGCAATAGGTCGTAGGGAGCGCGCACTGCGTAAAAGCATACCGTTCACCGGTTCAGTATGCACCCACTAAGCTGCGACTACCCCATTCCTAGCTCTTTCCCCTCTTCCTTCTGACTGTCACCGTGTTACACATACAGGAGATGTCCTCTAAATTATTGGCCATCTTAAAAAAAAAGTTGATGATACGAAATTTCACACTCAACAGCTATGTATGTACAATTTTTTTGGTATATCTGAAAGCATGAAGCAAGGAGCGAACTCCTTTGATTATTGAGAGAACGTTAGGAAAAAAAATTGAAAGAGTCCGCAGCATTCTTATTTTACTTAAGAAGGCAATGGCATAAGGCAAAATTGGAAATTGGAAGTGTTTATTAAAAAACATCAAAGAAGTAAACATTATCTGTCCATCTGTCCGCTTTTTTTTTTTTTGTGTTGAATTTACATTGCATAATTTTGACGATGTTTTGATGAATTTCGGTACACTGACGTGTTTTAGACCAAGGACGAACGTTAGTAAAATTGATTCAGATCGGATCACCTTTTCGAACGCTTCCCATATTAGGCTTAATTTTAAAAAGTCGGTCCATAAGTAATTGTAGGGTGATATAGAGTATTTAATGGTGAGCCGCGACCCACTACAATGCTTTTACATCTTCATAATTAAAAACATGTGTATATTCTAAGAATACATTTTTTTTTTTTTTTTTACATTAAATATAGGGAAAAGAATAACACGGACGTGTCGAAAGTGAAAGAGCTTGAAGGCCGTTATAGAATTTTGGCGGCCGAGCGAAAGTTTATCATTGATAAAACGGACCTACACGACGACGGCCCTTACAGTTGTGTAGCTGATAATCAAAAGAGAGATTTTAATGTCGTTGGTAAGAAAGATACGATTACGGTATATGATAATAATATAATAATAATAATCTTTTGTTTTACTTTTTTTCTTTATCTATTTTTTTTTTTTGGTCACTTCAGCTCAAGTTGTTGTACGAGTGCCTTCAAATGTTGGCGTTGTTGAGGGTGAGAAATTGTCAATTGTTTGCACAGTGGTTGGTACTGATCCAAAATTGTCTTGGTCATTTGGTAAGTTACAGAGATGTGTATGAATCAATGCCGACTTATTCGATTAATAAAATACATTCACTTTCATTTACTTAGGAAACATGACCATCTCCAATAGCACAGATCGTTATATATTAAAACCCAATGACGATAAGATAGAAAACGCCGTCTTATCTATGGAGAATGTTAGTTTAAATGATAGAGGCGAATTCAAATGTATTGCTCGAAATGCTGCCACCGAATACGCTAACTTCCAAGAAGCTAGTGATGTATCTTTTGTACGTGTTAAAGGTTAGTTAACACATTTCTCATAACACAATTATCTGATAGCCGAGGCATATGATTACGCAGTTTATCTTCAATAGACAGCATTTAACGTACATAGATAATAAATCGGTTAATTCCCGAGACTAAGTAGGAAAAAAAATTGCTTTTTCGCAAAATTCCAGTTTATTCAAGTGTAACGCAATCATTCACAAATTCTCCGGCATTTCGATGCCTTTTACTTTGTTTAAAACTCTAACTATTACAATTACCAATAGGCGTTGGTTGCCAGACTTGAACAGCATGATATATGGGGCAGGAATTCGAACATCAATTGATGCAGTTTTGCCATTGCGGCCATCGACTGGCATCATGCTTAATTCATTTATTGATTCGTTATACATATATCATATTCAAATATGCTGACTGTGCCACTCTCAACTACCTCTTGCAATTCTAAGTGGCGGAGCGAGCCACATACATTAATATCCCGACTATTGTGAGCCACTCGTCTGACGTAACAATCAAAGTCCAGGTACATTACTCGGACAGACCTAGTGGACTCAGCATGTCTGGAACGAATCTCTAGCTCGTCGGGTGAGGAGGGAGCCAGCAGGCCTGACACACAGTTTAAAAAGTGATGGACCTTAAAATTCAGACATAAGAACGAAGAAAAAGTACGAATCGTAACGAAGATTCTCACAAATCTTATTCGCCAGATTCGGTACCTATTTGAATTATTCTTTTTTTCAAACTTGATGCGTACCTCGATGGTGGAAGCTGCAATGCCAGCAATGGAAACGTGGATACTGCTGTTATCTATGACCAAATTCACAAGCATGACAATTCTCACTATAAAGCTATTGAACGCCACTAGGAAAAATATATCAAGCTAAAAGGCGACTTTACCAGTAGGGTTTGAGTGCCTTTCCTTCTCAAACAACTTTGATACTTTTCTGTTACAACCAGTAAAAGAACTGTAGTGGATACCGGCCCACCGATATTCATATATTCCATTAAAACTCGGTCCTATTGGTTGAACACAAGAAAACAACGCGGAAAGACGGACCGAGTCAGACAGTGATTCTCAATCAATCGGTATAATAAAAGGTGGCTCTATCTCAGGTCCTCCTGTATGTTGCGTACATCCGCTTACATCTTTGTACCAGAAGTGGTGGAAGGTGTAATTATTAGCTTGAGATTTTCTGTTATTCCTAATCACATAGTTCAGATTATTTGCCCTTAAAATTCTTATGTAAATTTTTAAAACTTTTTTTATTATAAAAAAAAAAATGGTTTCTTTTTCCTTCTAGGCAAACTTGCCGCTCTGTGGCCTTTCCTGGGTATCTGCGCCGAGGTTCTTATCATGTGCGCTATCATTTTGATTTACGAAAAAAGACGTAACAAGACCGAATTAGAAGAGAGTGATACAGATCCGCAGGAACAGTAAGTTGATCCCATTTCTCTCTTCTATATTCTTTAGCATATGCGCACAAATTTTTTCTGCCAAAAAAAAACAACAACAACAAAAACAACAACTTCAAAAGAAATACCCTTTAAATTGAAATTTATACACAACATATGTTTAAAACACCATTTTTAATTATCTATAAACACGAATCATATCACCCCTGTACCAGAAAAGTGTAAAACATAATTGAAGAACATTTTCCAAAATCTTAATTAGTCCAATTTTTTATATTGAAATTTCATTTTTTTATTTTCCTTATATATATATTTATATTTTTTTTTTTTTTTTTTCTTAATTTTTATTATTATAATTATTTCAATATATAATATAATGAAAGAGAAGTAATTAAAAAAAAAAATACTGACTTACAAACACACTCATTTACAATTAAAGCAAGTGCAAAAGTACATTAATTTACAATTATTACTGTTAAATTATATGCGTAGATATATACGTCCTACCTAAAAATGAATGCAGATGTATGTATGTATGTACATTTGATTTACTGTTTCTTTTTCCCCCCTTTTTTCGTTCGTATCCCTTATACGTTGACATATTTACAATTACAATTTTTTCATTTATCCTTTTATTTATTGCTGAGTGTTTTCGTTTGTTTAATAAGAAAAAACAAAAAAAAAAAACAAAAAAAAAACATTCTTTATTTCCGCCTATCGTAGGATTTTTTAAAAGTGCTTAAAACGATTTCATTATTTTTGATTTGTTGCTTTATCGATAATTTTATAAATCTAGGGACATATAAATATGTTCTTTTTAAAGTTACATACATACTTAAGAAAACGATAGAAAACACAGATAATTGTAATATTTTTCATTCTTAAAATATTTTTTTTAATTGTAGTATTTTTTTCCCCCCTCAATTTTTTCCCTATGCAAATCATATTAATATTTGTATTACCAGGCAAAGAAAAG